AGGAGAATTTACCTAAGAGCAGAACGGATCGTTCGTGCTTCTTGGCTATGGGTTTGTTACTGCTCGGTGTGGCCGAGACAGATGTGACTGAGGAAGAAATGAAAGCGATAGAGAGAGATTGAAAGGGGGAGAGGTTCTAAGAAAAGTAGTAGGATCGTTTCTATCCCATTTGGTCAGCATCACGATATCTGTCTCATTGCGAGTCTAGAGATGAGCCTATTTACTTTAGGATGTTAGATGGCTGTCCTATTTTCTATGAGGTGCGATGGTTGTTGGTTGTGATCTGCGCAAATCAGATTTGTGTCAGATCATGTACCTTGTCTTGTTTGCACAGGCTGAGTGGACTTACTCGTTTTGGTCTTGATTGATTCTAGCGAGTAGCAATGGTCCACTGGGTTGACTAATTCTATGTGCAATGAGACTGTTGAACGGAGCGAGTGATTAGTTCTGGTGTTCACTCTAAGCTGAGAAAGAGGGTTGCTTAAGTACTCACGGATCTCCCGTGTGTCTTCCCTCGTCGCTCTCGTTCTCCCTCTTGTCCTTGTTGTCGGGCTTGCCGTGGCTTTGTTCCCAAGGATTGAGGTGGCTTGTTTTGCTGCTTGGATCTGAAACAGAATGGGCTGAGGTGAGTTTCATATCTTGGATATTCTGAGTCATGAGTTTCATGGCTTACTTTGTTTTGTCTTGTCTTGTGTAGACTTCTTGCAACGCTTGGCTGCGGTCTCATCCCCTAGGGGGCTATTCTGACAGGCTGGGTTGCTTTGAGCCTTTAGGCGAGAAGCAGATGATTCTGGAGTTGCTACGCCTATGGATGCCAGGGACCTTCTTATAGTGAGTCTGCCCGTTGGCTTCGTTAAGAAGTCGGCGGAGTTGGATGTTGTCCGAATGTAGTGAAGCTTGATGAGTTTGGTGGAGATGAGCTCTCGGACAAAGTGTAGCCTGATGTCCATGTGTTTGGTTCGAAAACCATTTTGCGAGATTTCACTGCGAGCTAAGTCGATCGCGCCTTGGTTGTCCACTCCAACCGGAATGTTGATGGGAGTGTAGTCAAGGTTGAGTTCTGAGATAAGATGGGATATCCAAGCTAGTTCTCTTCCAAGGTCAGACAGCGCTTTGTATTCGGCCTCAGTCGAGGAGAGAGATACCGTTGCTTGTCTGCTTGCTTTCCATGAAAGCGTTTGACCATTTGTTGTGATGACATAGCCTGTGGCTGATCTTCTTGTGTCGGGGCAGTTTCCCCAATCGGCATCGACGTGCGCACTGATTGAAAGGCTGGGTCGCTTCTTGAAAACAAGCCCCACTTGTTTCGTGCCGGCAAGGTAGCGAAACACCTGTTCAGCGGCCCGATAATGCTGGATACCCGGCTTTTCAAGATGTTGCGATAAGACACTGACCGCATAGGAAATGTCCGGGCGAGTTAGGACACTGAGATAGTTGAGTGCTCCCACGATGGAGCGGTAGTTGGCTCCAGTCTTGGTGAGCTCATCGATTTCAGTCGATGAGGCTTTCTTCAGGTGGATTTTCGGATTGAGGGGACAGGAAGCCGGCGGTGATTTGTCCAGGCCGAATTCCAGAAGCTTTCTCTCAACGTATTGAGTCTGGTGAATGTGAAGAGAGTCGGCCGAACGTTCAAGGTTCATGCCAAGGAGAAAAGCCGCCCTGCCCAGGTATTTGATGTCAAACTCCTGTTCTATTTCCGATTTGAAAACTGCCCGATCGCTGCTGATGACGACTAGATCATCAACATGCGCATAGATCCATGTTGGAGGTTTGACGCCGCAGAGGGGTCGATGAAAAACGCATGGGTCCGAGGTGGTGGCCGAGAATCCAATGCTGATGAGAAAACAGCTGAGCCGCTTGTACCACACAAGGGACGCTTGCTTGAGTCCATAGATTGCTTTCTTCAATTCGAACACGGTGTTGGGGGGGCATTCATACCCTTGAGGCGGCAGGAGCGTCACTGTGTCTTCAAGGGGGCAAGTGAGGAACGCACTGCGTACATCGAGTTGATGGATAGCCAGATTTTGATTGACTGCGTAGGAGAGAAGCAGGCGAAGAGACGCTGCCTTGCCGGTTGGCGCATACTTCAGTTCGAAGTTGACTCCGTACGTCTGACGAAAGCCTTGCGCACAAATTCTGGCCTTGTACTCCACCACCTGATTGTCTGGGCCCAGTTTCTTGCGATAAGCCCAAGTTGCGGCTATTGGCGAATCAGCAGTGCGCCGGGATCGCTCGATCCAGACGTCATGCTTCTTCATGTTGGAGATCTCTTTTAGCTCCGCCTCCCTCCATTTGGAGGCCTCCTGGCTTTTCATGGCCATGGCGTGAGACTTTGGGTCGAGCGAGGTTGCAACGAGACATGTTGTTGTCCGGGTTCGTTTGCCTTCAATGATGTTACTGGCGTCGACTGTGCTGACGATTGGTTCTTTTGGTTGAAAATCCTTCACATATGCCCATCGTTTGTCCGACGCTGGTTCTGTTGGGTGATCAGGCGTGGTTTCTTCAGGATCTTCTGTTTGAGGATCAGCGTCGGTTACTGTCAATTCCCCTTCAAAGGGAAGGATTGGATCTGCCGAGAAGGTTGGGACGATTTCCAGGTTTTCTCCGACTACAGCAAGGCTTTTGTTGAGGGCTGGGCAGGTCGGAAAGATGTTCTCATTGAATTTGACTTGCCGCGAAAATACAACTTTTCTATCCTCGTGTCGATAGATTCTATAGGACGACATGTCGTTGGTGTAGCCCAGTAAAGTGCCCTCCCACGAAATGGAATCAAATTTTCCTTCACGGTTGGCCTTGGGCTTGAGAATCCATGCCTGACATCCGAATGGTTTGAGGAATCGAGGATTGGGTTGTTGTTTCAGCAGTAGTTGTCGTGGTGTTGATCGGCTTCTTGCTAGCGAGGGAAGGCAGTTGGTTATGGTGACTGCCGTTTGGGCAGCTTCTCCCCACCATTCCGCAGCCATGTTGGATTGCAGCATGAGGCATCGGGTCATCTCAATGATGGTCCTGTTGGCCCGTTCGGCAATTCCGTTATGTTGCGGAGTATACGGAGGGGCGACGTTGTGTTGGATTCCCTCACTCTTTAGGATCTCGCCTAGTTCGTTGTTGCAGAATTCTCCTCCTCCATCAGTGATCATTTTCTTTATCGAGTGCCCTGTTTGCTTCTCAAAGAATGTCTTGAAGTCCATGATTGATTTCGTGGCGTCTGATTTCTCTTTGAGTAAGGTGATGTGGATAAAACCAGTGTGTTGATCCACGAGCGTAAGGAAATATCAACATCCTCCGTTGGTGGAGGGTGAGATTGGTCCAACGATGTCTCCGTGGACGACTTCAAGGGGATTCGAGGTGGGAGAGAAATGACCCTTGAAGGGGGATTTAATCATTTTTCCTTTTGAGCAGGCTTCGCAGGTGTTCTTGATGCTGATGTCGCTTTTCTCTTGAATGACTTCCCTGATTCTGGGAGCACTGGCGTGACCGAAGCGTCTGTGCCACGTGTCGAATTTGCAGACTTCTGCTGTCGTTGTGTTTAGTGCTTGTCTGCTTGGTAGGATACCTTGCACTTCAAACAGATTGTTCTCTGTGCTGATGCGAAGGGAATGTGAATTGTTGATGGTTACAATCATTCCATCCTCCTGCATTGTAATGGTCGCATTGCTTCTGATGAGCTGGGCAAACGAGATTAGATTGGTTGATAGATTTGGCACGTAGAGAGAATTCTTCAGCGTGATCGTTGTGTTGTTGTCCAGGCGTAGTCTAGCTTTGCCCTTCCTGGTGGCCATCATGTCAATGTTTGTCGCACCCGATCCGGTCACTATCAATATTCTTGTTGGCGATGAGTCTAGAAACAGGTCGAGTGAATTGAACATGTGCTGACTTGCACCAGAGTCTAGAATGAACGCGTTCTTCTTTGCTTCTTCTTTGTCAGAGTAGTAAGCGAAGTCCTCCTCGGGATTGACTGGCGCTGTGGTTGTTGCATAGTTTGATGCTCTGGCTCTCTTTTGGGGTCTGAAGGGTCTAACGTCTGGTGATGGTCGCAGCTCGGGATGAAGGGTCCAGCAATCGTCCTGGTCATGTGGGTGCGTTGACTGAGGATTGTGCTTTCCGCCCGTACAGTAGATTTTTGGTTTCTTCTTCTGTTGAGTTGTCGTGGCCAGCGCCTGACTTTGCGCTTGATTATGATTGGTAGTTAGCTCCCTGATTTTTCTCACTTGATCGTGGTTAGCAATTTGGCGAAGTCTTGCGAGAAGTTGGTGTGGGTTGGAAAGCGTGTCGATGTCCGCTAAGAGTCGCTCCATCAAAGCCGGTTGCTTTTCAGTGATCTTTTCCATGATGGATACGCTTACTAGCTCTTGCATGACATTGATTCTGATTGTACTGATTTTGGCCAGAGCTGCCTTGATCTTGATGATGTACTTGAGCAGGTCCTCCTCATACGTGATTCTCCCGTAGTTGACCCAGACTCTGTAGATGCCGTAGATGTTGGCGGCAGCGTAGTTCTCTCTGAGCTTGATCCAGATCTTGTAGGGGTCACGGCCGCAAGAACTCTTCATGCTGTTGAAGATTTCGGAGTTTATTTTGCTGCTGAATATGAGCCATACTTCCAGGGCATTGCTCTTGACGGTGTCACTAACATTTTCCTGAGCAAGGACGTCCAATTCGCAAATGTACCATAGCTTTTTGTATTCTAGGTAGGCGCTCATCGTTGACTCCCAGCTGCTGAAGTTTTCCCCGTTAAACTTTGGAATCGTGATGACA